ACAGCAAATATCGATTTCTGTTGCTGGAGACGACATAAACAACAACACAGCTAAAAATACCGAGGATATAATCTGATTTTAAGTGTACATGCCAGACTGCTGCCAGCGATCTATAGTCAGGCACGGCAGTCTGCACAGTGAAATCACTATGCACAGACTTAGAAATAACACGCAACTAGAAATTGGTTGGGACGGTTTGGCGGGGGGGGGGGGGGGGGGGGGGGGGGGGGGGGGGGGGGGGGTAGGGGGGGGGTATTGTATTGTACGTTAGTAGAAGTAAAGACTACAGCAAACATTGTTTATCGCTTGAAAACAATAACATAGCGTTTAGTAGAAGTAAATAAATGTTCGATAAATGTTTGATTACACTAAAAATTTTGTTCCCGGTCTTTCTCAACACATCTAGTTTCTCATTTGATTAGATTTCTGTCGTATTATTTAGTTAATAATAATAAGAAGAACTTCACACGGGAACATGCACTGCAGGGGTCCACCGGTCACCAGTAGAGATCCTTCGTCAACAATTGATTCTGCCCATTGCTTTCCTAGACAATCTCGGAAGATGGGCCGACCTGGGTTATGAAGCCATGACCCGATATTCCCCTGCTGCACTTTATTGGACTTGTTAAGGACAAGACGATATGGTCACTTTGCAACAGGTTCTGTGACATTGGTGTTATATTGTCGCTGAGGTAGCAAATTAGATCAGTTGACTACGTTTACGACCAGAGTGATAAGATAATGGTTGGTTCATCTGACAGTTATTAGACTTTGGCATTTGGCAGAGAGACACTGGCAGGCATTTATCGGACACTATGGCTTATAAGGGATAAGACGTTATTTTCCACTAGAGCCTCAGACCAGTCTACTGAGGCTCATACCTCCCCCGCCCACCCCCCTCTTCCACGATGTTCCGTTGCGTTCAGAGTCAGCTAAAAGCTCTTTTAGCAGCCTCGCCTGGCTGTTTTAGTGACTGTTTACTCTCGTTTTCTCGCAAGCCCAGCTGCTTTAGCACATTGTACATGGAAGTGGAGATAAGACTTTTTGCGCCTACTTCGACGGCAACGATTTTTTACTGTGTACGCTTCGTCTCTCCTCAGACCGCCCATGAGCTTCTCGTACTTCTCGAGCTTGTACATTTGATATTTGCCCATTCGCGACTCATACGGCATGGTCAGCTCAATCAGGATGAGCTGGCGTTTTCCCGCAAAGTGCAGAACTATGTTAGGTCTCAGGCCCGTCTTCGGGATTGATTAGGAGTAGCTTTCGAAACCAAGCAGGTCGACAGCCAGTAACCAGTCCCTAGCACTGTCAAGTATTGATGGAGCGTGTGCGACCTTGAAGATTTTACCTTTATAAATCTGTCAAGCCTCGAGGAAGCTTATGGAGGTGACGGTAGGACCAGTCCTCACGTTGGCTATCATCATGGCTTGGTCCACAATGTCCGCTAACTCTTTCAGGACATTATGGTGGCACCAAGTATATCTTACCTTGCCTTTGGTTTTTCTGGACACGGACAATACGTGCTCCATCGTCTGCTTAGCTCTGCACAGTGGGCCTGTCGGGTTGGTAGTCGCACGCCTTTTCGCCATGTTGACGTTAACACATCGTACGCAGATCTTATGACAAAGCTCAGCTGCAATGGGGCCATTCACCAGCTCTCGCTCCATGTGAGTATTCGTGACAAGGCGCCCTCGATGCCGATCTACTGGCTTTGCTGCGACTGCTGTTCGGCTTTCTGGACCCGCGTCTTGTTTTCGGCGTCCCTTAACTGCTGTATTACCATGTTTCTGCACTCTTTGGCCCTGGCTTTAAACTACCAACTGACTTTTCCCTAGGCCACGTCGGTCGGTTTGTGTGTACGACATGACTTCTTTCAATTTCAGTGCAGCTTAGGCAGATCCTATCGCATCTAGTACTTTCCATTTCTTACCTGTCTTTAGAGCGGATTGGACAGCTGCCACAGTGGGGGGTCTAAAGAGTCTTACCTTCCCGACTTTATACACTTTGGTTACTGACTTAAACGGAAGTATCAGCTTAGCCTGCCTACAATACAGATCCACATCGGTCAGACAGGGCGATGCCCGAAGCCAGTTCCTCATGGCTGTATTGATTTTCCACAACATCGACTCCACTACAGCCATGCTAACTTCGTACACGAGCAGAGCTTTCAAAATTAGGGTCAACTCTTCTTCTATGTTCACCGGTGCAGCTCATATAGACGATGCCATTGCTGCACATTCCCATCGTTATGAGCCATGTTGGACAGAAAAAAAAAAAAAAAAAAAACCGCAATATTTTGGTCTTTTAAGTATTGGAAAGGATTCAAATACAACGGAGGAAATTGGTATACAGAGGTTTTTCATGATGATAATCAAAATTCACTTCAATCATAGCTCTCCTTTCTCCACATTCAGGGAAACTAGCAGGGTGTGAACAACCGATAATGAAACAAAACATAAGAAAAGGTGCAGGTTAGGATGCCGCTAGGTAACAAATACCCTCGGAATTCGACAGCTCATGCACCTGTGGGGGGGGGGGGGGGTGGGTAGGCGGCTAAACACCCTCCCCCAACCGCCAACAATTTTTATAGGGCCTAAGCCCCCCCCCCCCCTTCCACCTTTCACAGCATAGAAAAGCGCTGCCCCCTTCCCCTTTCCCGGGAAAGAAAAGCGCTTGCCTTTCCCCCACAACGTATATATTCGGTATACATACGTTTTATATTTACGTATTTTGTAAATATATTTCATATTATTTCAAATATTTTACCATATTTATTTACGATTGGAACAATAATTATTATTGCTATTATTGCACATTACACAAAACTTAAGAAACTGAACTGCAAGAACATTTAAATTATTTAAACCAAATTTTGCAAGGAGCACAACATGAAGATTAACTATTTTTTCAGGAGTTAGGATATTGCGTATAATTAGAATAATCAACAAGTTTTGGTAACCTTGGAGTTCCTTTTCTGAAACCATAATTTGTTATTAACAGAGAAATATTTTGCAAATGAATAATCTATAAATAGTATATGATGTCATTGTTGACGTGCCCTACCAAAGTGAACGCAGCAGTACTGGCTTTCTGGAAGTCTCAATGAGGCCAGCTGCCAGATAAATGAGTATATTTAGGTGCACAATTAGGTGATGCAATCTGATGCAATCGAAATATAATTAGAATATCCCAAGTGGAGAACTTACATATTGAACAAGTTGAGCCTTCTAGAACCTTCTAGAAGCAAAGTGAGTGGAAAACAAATATCACGCATTCCAAGATCACAGTATAAATAATAAGTAAGAAACCACTTGGGTAACCATTCAGTCTACGAGACTTAGAAGAGGATTGACTAGTAACATTGACCCTTTGGTCATCAAGAATTGGAAGAGGAGGGACTAGTAACAAGGACCCTCATAGAAAACCTTCAGTTGTAGAGATGCCAGCTCAACACTAGAAGCAGAGGCACCATCACATGGAGCCTCAAGTACAGTCACTAGAGAGCAGACATGAAAGAGACATTGAACTACAAAGATAACACACAAGATACATGGATCCACGGTCAACAGAGACACATTAGATAGAAACACTATTGAGATGTTAGAATCGACGATGAAACTGCTAGTACCAGACAGCACTAGAATCCAGGCGGCAGTTACAGACACTAGAAACAGTTAACAAAGTAACTAAAGATAAACACAACGCGACCTCAAGAGTATATAACCATAGATCGAACACAGCAGCCATTCAGAATATTACTGGTGTTATTTGTGACACTGCTGAGGTATAACAATAAAGGCAGTATAGAGAAGGAAAGCTGTTTCAAGACATTTTATTATTTAAGCACCAGTGACGTGAGAAGCACGCAGCTAGCAAGACGCCATCATCATCACTACTATCGACACGACCATCTTTCACCTCATCTATTCTCTTTCAATTGACTCCTCCTGTAACAAACTAAAGACGAACCTGGTTGTGACATCAACATACGCAAAGATGACAGCTGTGCTACACAGCCTCTCATCGAGCAAGAGTACTTACTGCATTTCTCTTGCAGAACATTGAATTTTCTTCGTTGATGGGCACCAGTGTCATCCAACCCTAACCCTACTAGGCATTCACAGAGCATGCTTGACCACCACGTCCACAAAATGATGAATTCACCTCAAAATCTTTCACAGCTTGACAATGAACTTACACATCTTTGGGACAACTTCCAATCTTTGAGGCGACATTCTGGAGCTGAGATTATTATCAGAAGAGGGCACACTCGTTATTCGCATCGTTATTGCTCATTACCTAACTCCCCCCCCCCCCACCCCTCCTCCCTTTTTCCCCACCCAAAGATGTCTACGTTACGGCGTGCTGTCAGGTAATGTTTGAACACAGCCCGGGCTCATATTTAGTAGAGCTAGTAGATTAATTCATAGTTCTGATGCATTTCGTTATCAAATAATTCTAAACTAAGTGGAGAAAGTATCATTATAGATTTTAAAATATACATTCTCCTTCTTCTTCTTCTTCTTCTTCTTCTTCTTCTTCTTCATCTTCTTCTTCTTCTTCTTCTTCTTCTTCTTCTTCTTCTTCTTCTTCTTCTTCTTCTTCTTCTTCTTCTTCTTCTTCTTCTGCTTCTTCTTCTTCTCCTCCTCCTCCTCCTCCTCCTACTCTTCGTCCTCCTCTTTCTGTGTTTGCCTCTGAAAATACAGGTGATTCGTTGTGCTGTGGCTTTTATTTAAAGCGTCTTTTGACTGATAAGGTCCAGTTACTGTCAACTCCAGTCGCCTTCTGCGATTAGCTTACTCAGGTGCAAATGGTTCACATACATACACACATAAACACACATAAACACACACATTCACACACACACACACACACACGCGCGCGCGCGCGCACAAACACAAAACTGGATGTCAGAACCTTCACTGGAAGTTACGAAACTGTGCTCATAATCCGTAAGCCATACACAGATAGTCTAAAAGAGCTAAATGCACACTGACCTGTTCTGTAAAAATCAATAACCGAGTTGAAAACTGCTGGGTGCCGGTCAAAAAAGTATTCATGTTTTCCTCGGTTACTAATTCGATGAAGGTCAGCTAAACGGGCCAGTCTGGAGCCAGGGACGTTCTTTAAGGTACTGACGTGTGTTTCATGTCGGACACCGCCGACGTTAAGTAGCACACGCTCATCCTTTTCCGTGATGTTTTTAATGTTTCTGACAGGAGTGTTCTGTGAGAGCATACAGTGTCTTATGGACTCTTTATTCGCTACTCCGCTCATAGTTTCATCCCAGACGTGGACTTTCTGGGTAAAATTATCGCTCTTTGGTATTTTTTTAGAGGGACCAACTTGCCAGTGTAGTCGTGGTTTGTGAGTTTCTATAGTTGATTTAGTCTCAGACGGTGTCTCAATAACAAGGTCTGCCATTTCAGAAACAAGTCCTGTTTGAGATTCATCTCTGGTAGGTGTTGTGTTTGATCTAACCGTTGGCCGATCAGCAAAAATCATTCCTTTCAATGTCGAGGCCAGCTTGGAGAGAGGTTAGGAGAAAGTTTTCTTTCTGTAACAATACGAAATAAAGTGACTTATTTTCTGTTGCCTATTTATATGACAAAGTGAAATAACAGCAGTTTAAATGGGTTGCCGACAGTGAGTTACTCCAGATTTGCATAGATAACAATTCAGTAAAACAGATTACAAAATTCATGTATTTAATTAACGTTATAGCAGAAGATGGGAAAGACACATTAAAAAAAAAAATTATGGGGCAATATAACAATGACCAGCACCATATTTTATGGATGGGAATAAAATTTGTGTTTTTAAATATAGAACTAATTATCAATTTATATTTATAAAAAAAAAATACACATAGTTATTTAAAGAGAACAAACATCAAATAATTATGATGTATAACTAAAATGTTTGGCATTCTTGTATATACTGTAGGTGATAAACAGCAGTGGCACCAAAACGCACCCATCTCCTACTCAAGATATTTCTGTGAATGGTTTAGATCTGTGTTTTCCAAACTGTTGTTGTCCACCACATTCTTTTCAGAAAAAAAAAAATTGCCTAGCGCTCCCTTTCCCTCGAAATATCTTTATTATCATGTGCCATGACGTAAAGCAAAGACGGGCATCATGCGCTGACATACCCGACTCTATTCCTTGCCTTAAAATGCTGCTCCTGTAAACACACAAAACAAGGATCTCATGGCAGTTTGGTTTCGTTATCGTCTTTTGTTGTCTCCCTCTCCAGTTCAACTTCATAAATTGTTTTAAGGGTGTCTTTGGCGTTTCAAAGCTCTGAGACATATTGGCTGTATAAGGTTTCGTGTAGCCTTCGTAAGCCCTGCCTTACAATTTCTAGAGATCAATTTTGGGCTGAATCTCGCTGCTTGACTGTTTCTGTTCTTGTGCACATAATTCTGATGTCCTCATTGGAGCGTAAGATGAATCAGAGAACGGATTTTACGTGGTGCATATGGCAGCTTTTTTTAAAGTTTAACTGGAGTATTTGGAGTCTGTTCAGTTCAAAGGAGAATTGCTGCCTCTGTTCTGAAGATAGTGCCAATTTCCCCTGCCGATACTGTGTCTCTGTCTTGCAATTAGTGTGCGTTTATCGCCCGCCTCCTGCCAGTGGCTTCTTTACAAAAACCGTCTGTAAACATACATGTCCAAATGTTAGAGGGGTACTGATTTCAAGGTAAATATAGTGAACAAGCTCCCCCCCCCCCCCCCCCCCCCGGACTGTTTTTTTTAAAGATTTGGGTCTTTCAGAAATGTAATGGATAAGAATAGACAGATAATCCACAATTCTGATGTAGACCTTCACACGTTATATAGTGTCGAAGTTTCTCTTGTAAAATGACTTACACTTTTTCTTGATAGATTGTTTATTTTTGAACTCTGTGGTTCAGCAGATGGTTCGGAAGCCACTTAAGCTTTTCAACTAAGTAAGGAATAGTTGCTGTCCCCCTTGGTAATTTTTACTGCGGCCTATATGTTGAAATTCGTATAGGTTCCACAAGTTCGTTTACGCAGCTCATCACATGAGACTAAGGCGTATTGCATAAAAAGTTTACATGCTCTAGTGTATACTGCGTTAGCGCTTTCAAATCCAGCTGCGACTCGCTGCAGCCCACGGTCTGTGTTCGAAACCGGGCGGTTCTCTGGGTTCACCCAGCCTCTAGGTAATGGGTACCGGAGTTAACACTCTGGGGTAAATGGAGGAATTTTGCTGTAGCTACGGAGTTGCGTGCGGACGGAGACACAGGCGGACAGTTTATCAGCTGTCCGTACTGTGTCTCAGAGCACTTATGGTTTATAAGCGTGTGCAGTGATGCTGGTTCACATCTCCCTACTTTACCTTTTAGTGCAGACAAGCATTCATGATTTTGTACTGGTTCCCTAGCATGTTCCATCTGATTTTATGTTCATTACTCCCCGTGTAGGTTCCGGGGTCCTGCTGTTCAAAGTGGGATGAGATTGTTTCAGTTCAGAGGATCGACAGTAGGAGTGTCGCAGAAGCATTACTTGGCATCTTTAGGCCTGGTGGATTCCAGCATAAGATACTTTATGAATTCATCCTTGGAATCACGTGGAGCTGTGGGAAGAGAGCATGATGATGATTAAACGATCACTTAGCCCAGTTCGTAGGTCGATGCTCCCCTCTGTCCTTGGTGATTCGACTGTAGTTGACTCAGGTATCTCTGCCTCTAGTTGATCTGGTGCCAGTTGATTTCCTCACCATCGAGGACACAGAAACTGCATAGGGACTCATCAAGTCTCTCTCACAGGTCAGGTCACAAAAACTGTCTCAGAGCCCAACCAAGCTCTTGAAGACTGGTTCACTAGATTGATGACACAACGTCTGCAAATGTTCACTGGAGCTCACAAACACGCTCTTGCCATGTTGAGGTAGTGGTATACAGGGCAGGACATGGTTATGCTTGGTGCATAGAATGGTATGGGTTGGTGGTTGTTGGCTGGACTGTGATTCGTCTGCCTGATCTCTACAGAGGTCTCATCCCAAGCTTAGGAAATCTTCCAAGTTAGAACTGGAACTATGAATGCGCCAAATTCTACTAAGACTGGATACACGTCTTGACACTTTGGAATCAGGCGAAAGAATCGTGTTCACAAAATCAAATCTGCGTCACTAGGAAAGAAGTTCCTTGTATTCATGAACAAGGAGTAAACCGGTTTAAATGAATTTTCAAATAAAATACTAGAATTACCCAATCTACAGTTGCAAGTTTGAAAATGAAGATATATCAAAGCAACTAGAGGTTCCAGAAATTACTCTTTTACCAGATAAAAGTATAGATCAATATAAGGGACTATATACCTTTCCGGGCGGGTCTAATTTTGAAATTTTGCTGAGCGAGAGGAATATCAAGTCCCGACTCGTCCACTGTGTATGGTGGCTGTTCAACTCATGACATGAACTGTACAGCAGTTGTCCTACATTCATGTAAAGTCACCCTCTGCCTCTTTACAAGGACCCTAGAAGCATATAATATCTTACTGGAACTACCATAGGGCTCTGCAATTTCACCAGTGCTCTGCAATTTCACCAGTGCTCTGCAATTTCACCAGTGCTTTGCAATTTCACCAGTGCTCTGAAATTTCACCAGTGCTCTGCAATGTGCATAAAAGCAAGACTGCAAAGCTTGAAGCACCAGCTGTTGGAAGACTATTTACATTTGCAGACGTTCTTGCATACAAGCAAAGGAGTGATAGGCAGCAGACAACCCAAGATCTACATGCAACTGTAGACAAAGTGACCCACCGGTGTGCAGAGCTTGATGCTGTCATCAACTCAGAAAGGGCAGCTGTTTTATAGTGTTCTCTGTACAATAGCATTATAAGAGGTGATATTCCAGGTCTCACGATTAATGATAAAAACACGAAAAGAGAAAGCAAACTGAGGTACTTGGGCTTCACTTTCCACCGAAGCTCTGGTGATCATGTGGGGGCAGCTGCAACGAAATGCCAAAAAGAATGACAGCCACTTAAGGTTATGGCAGCAATGGAAGGGAAACAAATAATACTGTTCACAATCTTCCAGCATGTGACCCTGTCGGTGATTGATTATGGACCATATCAAAGAGTCATGTGATGAAACTTGATAGTATGCTGGGTGAAGCCATGAGAGTAATTCTGGGATGTACAAGAGATACCCCATTAGAATAAATGCGAAATATACTGCCGACTATAAGTTATACTCAAAATGCTGCAAGTAAGGTCACATCTCAGAGTAGCCGCAGACAAAAAATACCTCTTGCATAAAGCCCTGACAGAGCTAAGGGTCACATACTGAACAGAGGAAGGTCTTGGATGGCCCACACTAAAGACACAATTATACATTTATGCAGGCTTGATAAATTTGGGCGAGGAGAGGACTGGGTCACTGTCCCAACAAAAGTCAGACGTGTAGAGTTCTGATCAGACTGGGCTATGAGTGCTGCAGAGATTGGCCAGGGGTTGCTGCAGAATCAGAAGTTTGACAATGATTCATGCACCGGTGATGGCTCTGTTTTGAGAGGCAGACGAAGTTCACGAGGGCTCTTAGCAAAAGTGAATTGACGTCACTCAATGCAACGATGCCTGAAATATGACACCACAACATATAGTTTGAAAATGGAGGTGGAGGCGTCAGAACGGCTTTCAGCGAATCCTAGAATCAGCTGTACACACATTTCGTAATTATAGCCGACCCATAGAGCATGTCGAGGAAGGTCCAGACGGTATGCTCCGCTAAGAGTGAAAAGCATCGCTTCAGAGGTCCCAGGTAGTTTGTGTCATTTGGATGTATTCTCCAGCCCATGCCGGCATGTTAGGAAATGAATGTGCAGATAGACTGGCTGGTCGTGCACAACTTGGTGGTTAACTAATAAATGACATGCTGAATGTTGTAAGGACCCTTTCAGTGCGAGTGAGCAGTGTGGAGTCACAGACGGGTCATCACGGTTCAGTGACTTTTAAACACACACACACACACACACACACACACACACACATATATATATATATATATATATATATATATATATATATATATATATGCTTTGAAATCAAATGCTGAGGCAAGTTTAGATTTAATGGCCTTATTTGAAATAATATCTGAATATTCTACACACATGGGCCGTGGCGAGAGTTTGCTGCTGGAAGCCACAGTGAAACTAAGCTTCAAAAAGTTCTTGTCGAAATCAGGGGCAAGGTTTACTTTTTCGCTTAATCCATTCTATTATGAGCTAAAGCTGCAACAGATTTCTCTTGCTGAAAAGCTACATATTCCAATTTACAGAAAGTATCTACTCGTTTTTTATTCACTGTGCTTTGTAACTGGGTAGAAATTGACTGTTCCTAAGTGGCTGCGGACTTGTAACATTTCAGTGACATGGACTGAGCATTTTGCAGGAAGGTGAGTGGACTTTAATCAAATATTCAGTCAGCCGCCTGATAAAGAAGAGCTAAGGATGTAGCTTAGGCAACCAGTTT